CTACATATTCTTGCCATAATTAACATTGGTTTAGTTTGCTGCTTATGCTTCTATTATAGTCTACAGTCGTTTTTTTGTTTTGTTTTTTTTTCTTTAAAGGCTGTGATTTGGCATTCCCCAGGCACTGAAACAAAACCGCTCAGAAAGCAAAATGTAGAAAGGGCAAGGCTGGGAAATAAAATGCCACAGAGCACCGTAGGAAAGGAGGATGGCTTCGTGAGGGTCTGGAAAAAGTATGCGTTTAAAACTAGGTCTGGTTTTATAGGCATGTTTTGTATTTCTCAAGAGTCTAACTCCACTGAAGACTCGTTCCTTGATGTAGGGACCGCTGTCAATCGGTAAATGGACTGCCCTTCCGAAAATACTTCTTCCATACAAGTACGTTTTTAACAAAGGTCTGAAAGCTTTCTGTAACTAATAGACCCTGACACACGTGTACCAAGGTTCAATACTATCCAAATAGTGGTATACTCTTTTCTGGCTCTGCGACTTAAATTAGCATTGGGGAAATAACCGTAAGCCGGGAAAATATGCATCTTGACGTTCAGCTATACACAGGTGCATTCTCGAATTATTCGCGATGGTTTACTCCCAAACTATAACACATGAACAAAAGCCCAGGTTGGATGGTAATCGTTCTAAATATGTGCTTGACTTCACGAGAATATTACAAATTTTCCTCCCAAGTTGTTTCCATGTTTCTGCTTGGACATGGTCAACATCAAAGTAAACTATTTTTGTTTATGCTGCTTATTTTTATTTTTTTTTTCCCGCAGTAAGCGTGTTTCAGTGAGCGGGGAGGTGAATATAATTCTATTCACATAACCAGTCAAGAATTCCTTAACAGCTATTTAGACATGTATCACTTCACTGTGCGATGATTAATGACCTAAACTACACTTTCATGAAGTAGCGTGGGCGATTGTTAAGTCAACTGAGGATTTGGAAGGAATAGAAAACAACGCGAGGTACACCCTGGAGATAAACCCACCAACAGGAACTTAGATCTAAAGAAGCCAGCTGTCCCACTTTGGATTTGATTAGAAACTGTTTTTCATGTTTCTGTTTTTATAGGAAAAAAAAAATGGCCTGACATTATTGAGCTCAGATGTCTTGCTAGGGTTATTTTTTTTTTTTTAATTTAACAAAGAAGCCAGATACAGAACCTATCAAGGATTTGAAACTTTTTCTGAACACACGTTAAAAAGAGGGGGAACGTAAAACTTTCTCTGCATTGACAATGAAAGATTCACCGAGTGAAATTGTGAGTAAAAACGATGTCGGTGCTCGCAAAATACTGTGGAATGACTTCCGCATAACCGCAGTGATGAAAAAAATACTTCCAAAGTTTTGCAGAGACACTCAGGAGCAGAGCAAAACCTTGCCAAGTCTTCTTCCCCACGAGGCTCCGATTCCCGGGAATCGTGCGTGGGCCCCTCCGGAGGTGCTTGCATCTCCATCCAAGGATCCTGATTCAGTCCAGGGTGGGGTCACTAAATTGCACCGTGCCTGTAATCATTACAGGTGTTTCCTCTTTTCTTTTCTTTTCTTTTCTTTTTTTTTTTTGGTCTACTCAAGTTAACTTCTCAAAAAAAAGTAAGGAGCATGGCCTCTAATGAAAGCAAATAAAAAGTGTTTTTTTAAAGACAATTTTGAAAAGCAACTAAACTCCCTCTGGCAGAACCTCCCCCTACACCTCACCTCTCACGCCTACCACCGTGTTTTCCCCGAAAATAGGACCTAACCATCAAATAAGCCCAGCAGGATTTCTTTTTTTTTTTCATTCTTTTTTTAATTTTTTAATTTTTTGTTTTTGGAGACAGAGTCTTGCTTCATTGCCAGGCTAGAGTAAGTGCCGTGGCGTCAGCCTCGCTCACAGCAACCTCAGACTCTGGGCTCAGGCGATCCTCCTGCCTCAGCCTCCGAGTAGCTGGGACTACAGGCATGGCCACCATGCCCGGCTCATTTTTCTATATATTAGTTGGCCAATTAATTTCTTTCTATTATAGTAGAGACGGGTCTTGGCTCTTGCTCAGGGCTGGTCTCGAACTTCCTGACCTTGAGCAATCTGCCCGCTCGGCCTCCCAGAGTGGCTAGGATTACAGGCGTGAGGCCATGCGCCTGGACCCTAGCAGGATTCTAAGCACTTTGATCCCATAATATAGTCCTATCCCCAGAATAAGCCCTAGTGACGGGCATGGCTGGGCAGCGCATCTGTACAACCCATGCGTGTCGTCGCGGAGCGGGAAAGAACAGGAAGCAGCCCTTCCCATCTGCCCCGTAGAGGCTAGTGTGTCCCCACAGGAGGATATCGCTTGAGCCCAGGAGTTGGAGGTTGCTGTGAGCGAGGCTGACACCACGGCACTCACTCTAGCCTGGGCAACAGAGTGAGACTCTGCCTCAAAAAAAAAAAAAAAAAAAAAGAAGTCTTTTGGGAAGAGACCTATTGGAGACTTGTAACTTACAAACCCCTCAGTTGCTACCCTGGAGTTTCAGAAGGAAGGCCCACAATCTGCAATCCCTTTCAAAACCATTTGTTTAGTCTTTTTTTTTTTTTTTTAATATTTCCCTACACAATGCTAGGTTTTCCTTTTCAGTAGCATTTTACCCGCGGTGTTATGCACGTGTGTCAAGCTAAAGGGAAAAACGAATGTGGCATGACTGTGGTTTCGGAAGTCGGAAGTGTTCTGTCTACTCTGGCGTTTCCGAGCAAAGTGGGGTTTGTTATACAACAAGCCGTGACTGAGACCTGACTGGCATCCAACCCTACAGCAACAGGGTCTAGCCCTTTGCACTCGGATGTCGAGTGTGACCCGACACGGTTGGCATTGGTAGCGGCTCACGTGTCGAGCCACACACGACACGTGGTTTCACCTGGGGGGGGGGGAAGGGGGATTTTTGTCTATTTTCCCAGTATCTTTTCCTGTTTTCATTAGCACGAAAGGACAAGTACAACGTAAATGCAGAGAGGGTACGCTAACTCCCAGGGGTGGGTTATTACTATCCACTAACTTAGAGCAACGTTTAGACGGAAAGCTCCGTGTAATCACACCTCACCCTAACAGAAAAACACAAAGATCGTGCTGTTTGTTCTAACAGAAAAAAATCAAAGGAGGAGGAAGAGAGACGGCTTATATTTGCGAAGCATGTGAATGCAAACCAGGTCTCCATGCGGGTGAATGTTTCAAAAAAATATCACACCACGAAAAATTATAGGGATTAAAATGACTCTTTGAATGTATCAATAATTTGAAATATTAAAAAAAAATCCAAATAAATAAGTTCGCGTGAAAAGAAACTCCCAGTGTTTTTTATTCTACTGCCGCGCTTTGTAAAATCTGGGGAATTTAGAAAGTTAAATCCCGAGTAGAATAAAGGAGTCGAGATAAAAAAAAAAAAAAAAGCAAGCGAGTGCAAAAAAAAAGAAGGAGGAGCTGTTCATAATGATAGTCTGAAAATAACGCAGACTTGGATTTCTTCTCTCCCTTGCAGGACAATATCATCTTATTCCTGAGAGGCTGTAAAGAGCTCGGCCTTAAAGAATCTCAACTTTTTGACCCGAACGACCTCCAGGATACGTCCAACAGGGCGACCCTCAGGTGAGCACTGCGTGATTTACGGGCAAGGGGAACTCCTTTACGGTTGGATTTGCAATTCCGCGAGGGTGTCGTGAGTTCTAAGAGGCCGAGAACTGGGTCTGCCTAATAAAATAAAAATGTGAAGGTAAAAAAAAAAAAGACAAAATCAAGCTTTTGAGACAGCATGCTTTGGCTTTCCTTCTGCACATGGCTTCTTGTGCTTATAATATTTTTTAAATTTTTTTTAAGTTTTTTTTTTTTTTTTTGAGACAGACTCTCACCCTGTTGCCCAGGCTAGAGTGAGTGCCGTGGCGGCAGCCTAGCTCACAGCAACCTCAAACTCTTGGGCTCAAGCGATCCTCCTGCCTCAGCCTCCCCAGTAGCTGGGACTACAGGCATGCGCCACCACGCCCGGCTCATTTTTTTCTATATGTATTAGTTGGCCAATTAATTTCTTTCTATTCATAGTAGAGATGGGGCCTCACTCTTGCTCAGGCTGGTTTCGAACTCCTGGGCTCAGGCGATCCGCCCGCCTCGGCCTCCCAGAGTGCTAGGATTACAGGCGTGAGCCACCACACCTGGCCTAAAAATTCTTAATAATTTTTTAAAAGAGAATTTTGAGGAGACAGAGGGAAATGTCAACCGAAGCTTAACAGAGAGGCCGCAGAGAGAAACAGCACAGAATCTGTGTGGTGTTAGACGCAAACATTTTACTGGCTCCAATTGGGCAGCTGAATAGATGGTTGGAAGACAGCTAACTAGGTAAACAGCTAACTAGGTACACAGGTCTGAGCTCCTTTATGCAAGGAAGGCATTGGATTATGGAGAAATCTCTTCTTCATTTACATTAGTAAACTTTTTTCTCCCGTTATCACTGGTGCTTTGGCCATCTGTTGCTCAATAGTCCACTCAGTGAGCCATGCTTGGGACCAAAGAATTCTTGGAGCAGAATGTCACAGTAAAAGAAAAAGGCGATGTATATTGCATGTAAAGAAATAGCTTGTGGCCGGGCGCGGTGGCTCATGCCTGCAATCCTAGCATTCTGGGAGGCTGAGGCGGGCGGATCGCTCGAGGTCAGGAGTTTGAAACCAGCCTGAGCAAGAGTGAGACCCCGTCTCTACTAAAAAAAAAAAAAAATAGAAAGGAATTAATTGGCCAACTGAAAATATATAGAAAAAATTAGCCAGGCACGGTGGTGCATGCCTGTAGTCCCAGCTACTCAGGAGGCTGAGGCAAGAGGATCGCTTGAGCCCAGGAGTTGGAGGTTGCTGTGAGCTAAGCTGATGCCACGGCACTCTAGCTTGGGCAAAAGAGTGAGACTCTGTCTCAAAAAAAAAAAAAAAAAATTCTTGGAACAGAATGTCACAGTAAAAGAAAAGGCGATGTATGCTGTGTGTGTGTAAAGAAATAGCTTGTGGCCAGGGCAGTGAGAAGCTTGTCCTTAAGGGATGGCAGAGTTGATGATCAGTTCATCGTAGTTTAGAAATTCTTTAGATCCTACTGATTTCATATAAGACATTTTCCACTTCAGTTAAATAACAGAATAAGCTGAATGACACAGATAGGGTCTGTGCTTGGCCACTTTTCTCCTTTTGGTTCCTTGTGGGGCATCTTATCACGGAAGAATAGAAAAGGGGAGAGAAAAGCCAAAATTCAGAGCTGTTAATTTTATACTATTTGCTGATCTTGACGTGAAAAATTAAAAAAAAAAAAAGATGGGGAAAAGCAGGATCAAAGTGGAAACTATTGAATGAAATAAAGTTTGCTGTTTGTTAATAAGTGGATTTTATGATTCATGACTGGGAATAAGAGTCAGACGTGATCGATTACCTAAAATTACTTCTCTGTTGTTCATGTGCCATTCTTTAATATTTCTCATGGGAAAAAAAAATCTTAGTTAAGTAAAAAAAAAAAAAAAACAGGATAAAAATTAGGATATTTGAATATGGGAACCACCATGAACCTCATCTTAGTCATGACACGCCCCATGTATCACTGTACCTAAGTCCAGCCTCTATAAATCATTGTTTATTTTAGGAAACTGTTTTAGGTTCTGCCTCATGTCGTACGCATAGTTTCACCTGGGGGTGGCAGGGGACCAGGAGCAATGGCACCTGTGCACAGTCATAGGTAATAATCACTCACACACACACAGGGCTTAGAGGGTGAAAAAAGTTCACTTTGACAGTGTCTGCAGCCACATTCATTCTTTTTTTTTTTCTTTTCTTTTTTTGAGACACTTTAAATCAATATGTCACTACACCAGGAGAATTCTGAGCCTGGTTTTAGAAGTTCACCTTGATTGCTTATCTAAAAAAAAAAAAAAATTGGGCATCAGGAAATGGAGGTCCAGTTTTAGGTCTGCTAATCCCTGGATCTATAGTCCTGGTTAAATTGCCAGTAGACCCTTAACCTGGACCTGGACAGACTGTTCTCTCGGGTCGGGCTTGCTCAGTGCACACCTGGGAAGACGGGACAAAGAACTTCTAAAGAAAGGGACTTTAGGCCGGGCGCGGTGGCTCACGCCTGTCATCCCAGCACTCTGGGAGGCCGAGGCGGGAGGATTGATCGAGGTCAGGAGTTGGAGACCAGCCTGAGCAAGAGCGAGACCCCCTCTCTACTATAAATGGAAAGAAATTAATGGGCCAACTAATATATATAGAAAAAATTAGCCGGGCATGGTGGCGCATGCCTGTAGTCCCAGCTTACTCGGGAGGCTGAGGTAGGAGGATAAAGAAGGACTGATGGCCGGCGGTGCTCACGCCTGTCATCCCAGCACTCTGGGAGGCCAAGCGGGAGGATGGCTTGAGGTCAGGAGTTGGAGACTAGTCTGAGCAAGAGCGAGACCCTGTCTCTGCTATAAATAGAAAGAAATTAATGGCCAACTATATATATAGAAAAAATTAGCCGGGCATGGTGCGCATGCCTGTAGTCCCAGCTTACTCGGGGAGGCTGAGGTAGGAGGATTGCTTGAGCCAGGAGTTGGAGGTTGCTGTGAGCTAGGTGATGCCACGGCACTCACTCTAGCCTGGACACACAAGCAAGACTCTCTCTCAAAAAAAAAAGAAAAAGAAGGACTAATTAAAGGTACAGAAAGGCGGGCGCTGGGCTCACGCTGTAATCTAGCTTGGGAGGCCGAGCGGGCGGATTGCCAAGGTCAGGAGTTCAAACCAGCCTGAGCAAGAGCGAGACCCGTCTCTACTATAAATAGAAAGAAATTAATGGCCAACTGAATATATGTAAAAATTAGCCAGGCATGGTGGCGCATGCTGTAGTCCCAGCTACTCGGGGAGGCTGAGGCAGAAGGATCATCAAGCCAGGAGTTGAGGTTGCTGTGAGCTAGGCTGACGCCACGGCACTCACTCTAGCCTGGACAACAAAGTGAGACTCTGTCCAAAAAAAAAAAAAAAAAAAAAAAAGGTACAGAAAGCAACTAATGGGGAAAGTCATATAGACAAGTGACCTATGGACATAGTCCTTCTTAATCACTTGCCATCTTCTTCCTTCCTGTCCTTTTGACTTTTCCTTCCTTTTTCTCTGACCCTCATCCTCCTCTGCCTGCTTCTCTTCTTTCTCTGTCTTTCCATCTCTCTCCTGTTTTGCATTTCTTCCCCACTTCCTCCCTTTTAAATTTCCCTTCGCTGAAACACTCTATTATCTTAGGCAATACTGTCACTGCACTTCCTCTCTCACCCTGGCATTTGTCATTCATTCATTCATTCATTCATTCATCGACTGAATATTGTCTGAGCAGCTCCTATGGCGTCGGATCACTTTGTCACCAGAGAAGGGAACGGACGAGACAGCAGGTCCCTGCTCCTGGCAAGCCACACACTCTCTGAGAAGGACAGAAGGACAAAGGAGCGATTGCTGGAAGTGATGATAGGTGCCCAGGAGAAAGTGACGTAGAGGGACGTGAAAAACAGCGGCCAGTCCAGAGCGGTCGGTCGAGGGTGGCCTCTGTGTCACGCGTCGGTATTTCAGGCAATGGCTGGGTCCCAGACGTGAGCCCGGACTGGGCCAGCCAGTGGGCGTTCGGGGCAGAGAAAGTGCAGGCACAAAGGCTGCAAGGAAGGAGAACCGCTCCGTGTGGAAAAGGAAAAAAGTCACCTCGGAGGGTGTGACTGCAGGGTGATACTTCAGGACAGGGATGGAGGGTGCAGGCCACCAGCAGGGCAGGATGTTGCAGTTGGAATCATAACGGAGAACAATTTTTTCCCTGTGTGAACAGGTAGAAGAACATCAAGAATTTGTCTTAAAACTATGCCCATTATGGAGAAAAAGTTATTTCCCTGTGTGAACAGGTAGAAGAACACCAAGAATCTTGTCTTAAAACTATGCCCATATGGAGAAAAATTTCCTGTGTGAACAGGTAAAGAAACATCAAGAATTTGTCTTAAACTATGCCCATTATGGAGAAAAGTTATTTCCTGTGAAACAGGTAGAAGAACACCAAGAATTTTGTCTTAAAACTATGCCATTATGGAGAAAAAGTTATTTCCTGTATGGAACAGGTAGAAGAACATCAAGATTTTGTCTTAAAACTATGTCCATAATGGAGAAAATTATTTCCCTGTAGGAACAGGTAGAAAACATGAAGAATTTTGTCTTAAAACTATGCCTGTAATGGAGAAAAGTTATATCCCTGTATGAACAATTCGAAGAACATGAAGAACTTTGTTAAAACTATGCCATGCATTCATTCGCAGTACGTAGTTCCTAGCTGTAGTGAGGGGCCTGGAATGAACTCTGCCTCCCTGCTTTTTGGTGAGGTGATGCCGGTTTGGTCTGGCGCTGAGCAGGGAGCATTTGTAGCATTTGTGCATCTTGTCAGCTCAGGCGGGCACAGGCAGGACCGCCGTGCGTCTCTGGTTTTCTCGCTGAGACATGGAGAGCAGCCATAGCCACCGATTACCGTGTTTCCCTGAAAGTAAGACGGGGTCTTATATTTATTTTTCCTCCAGAACACCCTAGGGCTTGTTTTCAGGGGATGTGTTATTTTTTTTTTAGGTACGGTACAACCGTCTACATTGATTCAAATAGAGTAAAATTGTCTTCTTCTGGAACATCATCCTCACTCTCCAAACCCGAATCCCATCCTGAATGTCTTGGCGACTCTGTTTCCTTTAGAACCATCGGCCCCGATCTCTCCTGTGGACACTAGAGCTCTCACGGGGCGATGGGAAGGGCTGCTCGTGTTCTTTCCCGCTCCTGCGACGACACGCATGGGTTGTACAGATGCGCTGCCCAGCCATGCCCGTCACTAGGGCTTATTCTGGGGATAGGACTTATATTATGGGATGCAAATGCTTAGAAATCCTGCTAGGGTCCAGGCGCAGTGGCTCATGCCTGTAATCCTAGCACTCTGGGAGGCCGAGGCGGGCAGATTGCTCAAGGTCAGGAGTTCGAGACCAGCCTGAGCAAGAGCGAAGACCCGTCTCTACTATAAATAGAAAGAAATTAATTGGCCAACTAATATATAGAAAAAATTAGCCGAGCATGAGGCACATGCCTGTAGTCAGATAATCA